GCATGTTTTCGTGACCAAGTGGTTCCTAGGTTGGAACAGCAACCACTCTCATTATAATAACGGAGCTCGTTGTCTCCGCATACATGTCCATTTACATGTATTAGAATACCAAGATGTTCTCCTCTGGAAAAGCCTTTCGCGGCAAACTTCAACGTCAAGGATGGTAAAATTAAAATCAATATTTCAGCCAAATAATTATGTTGCCATCTTCTGCGGATACTAAAGGCCAGTGGACTGGCCGCGGTGTAGCGTGACGTATCCTGTGCCTCCGCCGAAGCTGCCAATCGAGCCATGGCGTGATCGACGTCGTGGTAGCCTGCCCGACAGAGATCGTCGTCCACCTCCGCCACTGGAGCTCGGCGACGGCACCACAAACTGCTCCTCGAAGATGGAGCGATCATCGTCGAAACCTTCATCTTCCACTACAAAGTGCTCGTGTGCACCAAGATTCCTCGATCGCATTGCGAACGGATCGTACTCTACCGCAGACGTGCCGAACATGGACACACGCGACGGAGGTGGCGGCATGGGCAGGTTTTCAGCAGCCAATGCCTCAGCCAGGCGATCGTAGTCCACCGAGTGGTGATTGACGACACTGCGTCCGAGTGTCAAGCGACGTGTAGGCAGACGTAACTCGGAAAGCGAGGCGATCGAGTCACGCTCTCCATCGGCGTCGCCTCGGAAGTACGCGGTCATAGAGAAGTTGCTCGTAGAGCTCAACTCCTTTGACAAATTGGCAGCGAGTGGTGCATCCAGCAATGCAAGTCGCGTCACGATGTTGCCAAGAGCAATCGAAGGCTGCACGGTTAGCACGCCAAGTTCGCGTAATTGAGCTCCAGCTGCACAGTCATCCACCACGGCAATCAACCGAGGACGAGCATGCTCACCCAGCATCGTCTGCATGACCTTAGCGTGCTCCAGTGAACGCTCCGGAGCGCCCGTAAAGATAAGCACATCGGCATTTTGCATGTCCGAGTCTGCAGGAGCTTCACAGTAACGGTCCTGGATGGTGTTCTGAAATGAGATCAACTCTCCCTTCGCAGTGCGCTGTAGAATGGTCTCATTCATGCGGCGCCACTTATCGGCACGAGCTTCGTCAAGTAGCGGGACGTTCACACGCGCGCCGTACAGCGACAGCTCCAGTGCAATTTCGAACGCCACTTCATCGTCTCCGAGCACCACGGCACTCTGTACGCGGTAGAAAGGAAGCAACGGTCTGGGGTCTTTGCCGCTGCGAGTAGAGAATAACGTTTGTGTGCTGTTGTGACGACTAAGGCTCCGAAATGACGCAGCGCGATCTACCGAAGCCTTGGCAGCTTCGACATCCCAGTCGCCGCCATTTCTCTCCTGCTCTGGCTGAGGCTGGATCTGGGCTGCTGCTGTTGCCTGGCGATCGATCATGCTCTCCCCAGCACCCCGAAGCCCTAGAGAACATAATACAGGCCCGATGACCTGGTTGATCACCACTGCAGCCACGATCGTCGCTGCAAACTCGGCCCCCCACTCATCGGTGATGAGTTCCTTCACCTCAGCAGCCAAACCTAGTGACACACCAGCTTGAGGAGCCATCGTGAGCCACAAGTGTTTGTAGTGACGTGGTGGAAGCTTCAAAAGGAAGCGCCCTCCTCCGTAGATGGCCAGGAAGATGGCCGTGTAGCGCAGTACCAGATACAAACTCATCAAGGGGAGCACATCCAACACCTTATCCAGCTGCAAGGACGCCCCAGTCATGACGAAGAATGGCAGGAACATGTACGGAGCCACGGTATCCAGGATCACGTGCATTTGCGGACGGATAGCGGCATAGTGGCCGGCCGCGCAGGATGCCAGCATTAGCACCAACAATGCCTCGAACTTGACTTGCCACACGAGTCCAAAGTGTGCAGTTGTGAGCTCACTGAGTGTGTTGGTGAAGAGGTAGAACAGATAGCCCATCAGCAGCCAGATAAAACCCTTGAGGTAGAGTGCCTTGCTCTCCGTCCACAACTGGGGGCCGTTTAGTGCATCCGTCTCCTCAACGTAAGCGTTGTGAGGGTGCGGGGTTTGACTAGGATCGTCACTTGTCAGCTCGAGGTCGCTCATATCTTGCCTGCTGTCGGCGCGTTGCTGCATCTTCTTGTGGTACTGTGAGGTCGAGATCCTCGACCTCCTGCTGGACGAGACCGAGATCCCATGGGCAGGTAGCGCGGATGCTTCAGACTCCTCCTCATCTCGTTTCCCACTCGGTATCTGAAATATGAGGATGATCACGAGGCCTAGAAGTGCGCCTAGTATTAGGTTCATCAGCACGACGCCCATCGTGAAGACGATGCTCTCCGTGGACACGTCGAGTTTGGCGCAGTAAATGGAAGCGACGACACGCGAGACGGAGAAAGACACGAGCACGACGAACTCTGCAGTCATACAGGTGCCCAGTGCCAAGTGCGTAAAGGGACCGACGCTGTTGAGTTCAATCTTGAGAGCCATGACGGTGGATGGTGAAACGAGTACCGAAATCGAGGCGAACATGAGAGCAATACCCAATTGGCAACTGTTCGCCAAGTCTGAGTAGAAGAAGGCGCTGGCAGCCAGCATGAAGACGCTGGTGCCCAATATCATGGCCGTGCAGTAGTAAGCAGACAGTAGCGCCAAAATCGACTTGATCTGAGGTCTCAGCTCAGGTAGATAAATCTCTTGACCGGCCTGGAACGAGATGAAGCTCAATGCGAAGGCGTTGACGTACGAACCGAGCATATCCACGACGTCCTCGTTCAGTAAGTTAGCCAGGAACGGACCCGACAGGATGCCGGCCACCAAGTACCCGGTGATAAGAGGTAGGTGGAAGTACTTGGGGAAGAAGAGTCCAAGCGGGTGAGCGCCCAGCAATACGAGCACAAAGGCCAGCAGGTGGCTCAGTGTGTCGGGCACGTTGCTCCACGAGTTAAAAGGCACCGTCTTGTCATCATCTTCAGTCTCTTCAGCAAGCAGACGCTCGGATGCTAACGAGCTCAAGGAGTTGGCGTTCGCGGCGGCCAGAACTGCAGCCAAAGTGGCAGCATGCAGCCACGCTCGACGGAAGCGGCTCATGGTGCTTATTGACTTTTTTTACGTGACGGAATTCGATCTCTTGGGCAGGCAGCGCGTTCAACTGTGACTCGGTGGCAGGTCTGGCTGCCGGCCGGCAGCCAGTCTGTAGCGCCGCGTCACATCGAAATCAGAGCTGCATGTACAGTTGAACATACCCTCCGATTTGGACCTGGGAATTTTATGAACGAGTTTCAGGTGCATGTAAAGGCCAGCCTATGAAAGCGCTGCGAAATTGTGCCGGGCACAGTTTTGGTCGAAGATGGGCGCGATCTGAAATTTGAAAATGCTTTAATGTTGGATGTGACAGTTGACCAAAGACTAAAGTGCACTGCACTGCCATACCCGATACTGCATTTGCAGCGCATACATCGAGTCGTTTGGAAGGGTTTTAGGGACATGTACGCTGTATTTTGTCCGAAGCTGACCAGACGTACCTCATTTGGATCAACCTCGACGTTAGATTCCACCGATGGCAGACACGCAAGATAGTTTTATATGTGAGTCCAGGCTTCATCCTCCGTAGTATAAGCAATATCTCACTGTCGCAGCGTCCGTAGCTCCGGACTGTGCTCACCTTGTAACAAGCTCTCGTTTTGCGGTACATGTAGCACTCGATCTTCAATTTGTAATGTGCTACATTTTTTTTCGCAGGGATAAAAGTATTCGGTGTACTTCCAGCACTCCAGAAATTCTACCATAAGGTAAAAGTTTTTAATTTTCTTGAATAATGATCACGAGCTACATGTATTAATACCGCCTTTCGCGCGAACGATAAAGGTCGTAGTGTCGGCTTAGTGACAATTTCTCCATTACAAATTGTAATTTACAATAGTACACTCGCGTCGCAATGGTCTTACAGTAGACCAAGCTTATTATCCCTTGTTCACAATATCTGTGCGGATGCGAAGATGACCGCCCCTGCCGAGACGTTGACGCAAGCTCATTCACGCTGTCGAACGAAGTAAGTGTGTAGCTTTTCGAATAATGTCAACTTGCGTTGGCCAACAGGTCGCTTACAGCTCATGCTTGAAACTCTTATTTTTCTTTTCTCATACAAACCAGTTCACTTCAGGTACTTCTGCTACAGTCAGCAAATGACTTCAAACGTCTCGACGACTAGTGTACATCTTGCCCTTATCAATTGCCAAGTTCACTACAGTACATCTTGTCCTAATCAATTGCTAATCTTCGTAAGAAGAAACAAGAGGCCGGCATTTTTTCTGAAGTACCCTGCGGGTGGAGTCATTGCCACCAATATTTGTCTAGTGGACCCGTATACATTTACATTGCATTCATTGTACATGTTTGTACTGTACTGTACACAAATAAATCTGATATTACATGTGCAGACGATTTCGCTAGTCGGTCTTCTGTGCGATGCAGATCAGTCAGTAAATTGGTTCATTAGGGCTTTCAGGGTTTTACATGTAGCATGTATACGACTCGCTCTTGTTCTGAACCCCAAAACGTTTTACGTCGGGCGTCTTAGCAGCTATCGAATGAAAGCGCTGTGTTGCTGATTTTTGTGGCGGTCTAAATCCGAATCGAGTCGTTCGATGCAGTTTCAGCGAGCGTGGTGCTTTCATCCTGGCAGATCTCTATCATCCCTGCAGTGGCGTAGTTGCTGGTTCTCAGAAGCATGAATGACGATAGCTTATTCGCAAAATTCACTCTGGCGAAATCAACGCTTCCCGTAGCAACAATGTCTTGCATCCGACGATAATCTCCGCTACACCCGCTGCCCTCGTAGAACGCGAAACGAGTATCGTGGGGAGCATTGCGCCAGGCCGCACTGACAGCAATGTTGTTGTAGCAGGAGTCGAGCGAGTAGCAGACCTGAATGTCCGATAAGGTAAACTTCTTGTAGCGGCGATTAGTGGTTGCCGATTGAGCAGGATAAAGACGAAGCTCAGTCGACAAACACAGCGAAGCCATCGCCGTTATTAGCAGTAGCTTTAACAGCTTTTGCAGTGTTTCCATGACGTTGCAGCGGAGAATTCGGAAGTGGCTCGATTGAAACGCAGCGAATTCAGAAATGAACTGGCTGGCGGCGTATTGAGGTCGTGAACTTAAATCTGTGCGGTACTGTACATGAATTTGGAAAATGCTTCAAATAGAGGCTGCATCTAAAATGCTGATTTCTTCGAAGTATTGTAATTTATTTTACGGTAATAAAACGTTAATGGAGGCGGACGATGCGCCCTTCGTTCCCTTCACAGAACGAGCGCTGGACGCGTCCAACAGCGGCTACCGCTTGCTGGTGAAAATGGGATGGCGCTGTGGCTCCGGCTTGGGCAAACATGAGCAAGGTTTGGCGGCACGTGTGTCAATAAAAGAAAAGAAAACCCTCTAAATGATAATCTCAATTGTTACAGGCATCGTGGAGCCCCTCAATATGAAAGAAAACCTCGTGTACCTCGGGCTCGGCAAAGCGGTGGGTTGCTTAAACAGTACCATGCTGGTTCTAGTTACAAATTTTTTACATAACTGAGTTTTCACGAAATAATTAACGTAATTTATTGTGTATGCAGGCGGAGTACGATAAGGTTACGCAGTTGGCCACGAGCGAGCGACGCAAACTGGACGCAGAAGTGAAAGAAACAGCAGAGCAAACTGCTGCTCGGGAAGCCAAAGGTGCTCGGGAAGATCAACTCAAAGCACAAGTGAAGAACATGCAGGCGGCGTTCTACTGCGCAGACTGTCGGAAACAATACAAAACGGTGATCGAGATGGAAAATCACTTGAGTTCGTATGACCACCACCACACCAAAAGACTGAAGGAATTGCAGCAGCAGAAAAGACGCGTAGGGTCTGAGGAAGAACAAGTTACAAAGCGAAGGAAGGAACAGCACCAGGAAGAAGTGATGTTGCAGAGGAGGATTGCTGCACAGACCCAAGCTGCCCCATCCAAAACGACTGCTGTTGCTACTACGGCAAGTGATGCTGGTTCAAAGGAGAAGCTGACAAAAGTCGGTTTCAGCTTTGGTGGAGGAACGAAAGTGGGGTCAAAGAAACCAGCGAAGAAGGCGCTGCTTATTTCCTCAGCTTTTTCAAACCCATTTTCGAAGTAAAGTATTGACACATTCTACCGTGAAAATTTTCAGTGGATCTCTCTCTGAATCGTTGTCCTTGGTGTCCTCTCAAGATGTGCTGTACGAGGAATTTAATGCGGGGTGTGAATAGATAATGGGTGCACCTGTTGGTTTTCTGAGATCAAGTGCGGGTGCCCGCAGTTTACGAGTCTCAAACTGGTTGGCGTAAGAGGAGCCTTCCACGAGTTCAGCAGACGCAAGCGCAGGAAACAAATGCCTTCGATATTTGACTACTTTTTTTCTAGGCATATGAAGTGGGTGGGCTTCTTTTCTGAGCCATCCAGGTGGCGTTAATCGCTATGCAGCTTGTTCCTAGCTTTGGTGAAAGTGGGTCATTGGCCAAGTGTCTTTGAGGTTGAGCAGTACTATCGCTGAACTACTCGATGTTGATTGTCATCAGGTTATTGCTGGCTTGTAGTACATGTACTTCGAAGTATCTCCTAGGCAGATTCATCTTGACACTCTCAAGACGGATCAAAATTATTGCCCTCGATGAAATTCGAAACGCTCCATGGTATAGATAAACGTTGGCGACATGGAAACATCCTGGTCATGCCGCTGAAGCTATAGATATCAGGCAAGTCACGTATATTTTGAATTCGCGTCAGACGTGGTGCAGATCTTCTCTATTTTTCGATTCTGACCAAGCTGAAACACCTTGCATCTTCATAATTCAACAACCACCTTTGAACACCGCTCAAGCTTTTCAAGAACGCCGAGTTCATGGTGAAGATGACCTTAGGACTCCCTCCTATCCTCTTTTACCCGACGTGGCTCGTGCTACTGGGTTTCCATGCAGTCTGCGCTCTCTATCTCGTCGTGATGGCGGCAGCGTATTTCGCAATGACTTCGAGCGAGAACGCATCTTACGCGCCAATATGGTCCGACACGGGGTTCAAGCACTTCAAAGCCTTCGGTGCCATTTACTTGGCTATTGCTGCACTGCACGTGATCCAAGTTCTCCGCATCTTCTACCTGTCGATTCGAAACAAGCGAATGGTACTTCACTGCGAACAATCAAAGTCGTATTGCAAGGACGACAGCAAGTGTACTCCCTGGTGCTTCGATGCAGTTTTTGCTGTCCGTGAACTGGTAGTGCTGGGTTGTCTGTCCTACCAGGCCTATCAGTCCAGCAAGCTAGTGCCGCGTGTGGAGCTGAACAACCTCAACGCGGCCATGTTGATCCTCTCCTGCTGGCTGACCCCCTTGATCCAGATCCTTGTCCGCAAGTCGATTGCTCTCAGTCGTGCTACGTCGCTCCTCAGCAGCTTCGTACTGTGCACTTTTCTGGCCAAAGTGATACAGTCTCTGGTGTTCCTCCAGTACACGGACGTCTTCAATTCGGATAAGATGCTGTTTGCAACAAAAATGATATTCGACCCGACCTTCCTGGCAGTACTAACACCCGAGAACAGGATGATGTTTGCTACAACTGTAGGCGACTTCATCTCCAAGTTCCTACCTCTTCTTGGCAGCCTCGTGTCATTAGTGATGCTGGAAGGAGTGATTTCTCGTCGTGAAGAGAAAGTCACTCCAGATACTTGTGCCGACACCAATGCAAAGGTTGATCCTAATGTAAATGTCACTGTGGAGACGTTGGACACTCCAGAAGGGTCCACAGAGCCCGCTCGCCTGGAAGCTGGTACCTCTACGAAAGCTCTGGGAGAGTCTCGCACTGCTGAAAACGCCCCACGTGCCCCGTCGAATTACTCGTCGTGTGTCTGGGTGTTAGTCGTGGTCAAGATCTCTTGCATTGTATGGGGCATTCTTGTGCTTGCGTTCCACCTCAAGGCCCAATCCCAGCACAAGACAATGCCTACAGGCTGTTTCTCGGCTACCCGACCATGGTTCAGCTCCAAAGTCTCGTGCTTGGCTTTCGTGTTCGACTGCGTCGACCAAGCCGCCATGTCCCCAACTAACGAAGCCTTTGAGGCGTTGAACTTGGATCCGGAACTGCTTTGGCAGTCTTAACTTCGTCAATTGCCCCGCTCTTATGGTTCCGAGTGTCATTCAGACATTCCCTCAGCTTCAAAGCGTTCAGGTTTTCAACACGGCGTTGTATTCCTGGGATGCGAATGCTGCACTCACTCAAGAATTCCACCCGCGACTCAAGAGTATCGTGCTCATCAGCGTCAAGATGGCAGCGTTCCCCGACGGTCTCATGGGAGTTCTTCCTTACTCGCTGATGAATCTGCAATTCTTCGCTACGATGCTACCGTCGTTACCCAATGACCTTGGTACCAAATGGGGAGGAGCTAATCGACCTTTGATTGGTCGTGTCGGCTTCGAGTACGGTATCCTCAGTCCAGCAACTGTCCCGCTCGAGACGTTCCAACTACCCGTAAAATCTCTGTCACTCGCTGGCAACTTCTTCCTCTTCCAGATCCCAACATTGGCTGCAGTCTCAAACACGTTCCTGCCTCAGCTCGTTCTGGACGGAGCTCCGTTAATGGCGCTTCCTCCAATTATTGATCCGACCTTCAAGATCGGAGACTTGAGCATGGAAGGCACCGAAGTGTCGGTGTTACCGGACTGGACAAAGTCACAGGTTCCGTCCCCAATGCACCTGTATGGATCGGCCTTTTGTCTGACGGCCACAGACGCGCAGAAGACCGAGGCCAACGGTATCTGCGATACCAGTCGATGGGGAACTCCTCTACCACAGTCGCCGATTGAACGCATGGAAGAAGTGTACGGGAAGACATCCGCCTGAACTTGATCAAACTTCAAAGTAGTAGGGTCGAAGTATCTGCAAGACAAATAGACGCATTGACAAGTTATTGACAACGAAGACACGCAGCAACAACAACAGCTAGCTCCTTCACGCTAACAGCACGAGAACGTAGACGCAACCCACTTGGAACAAAGGAATCGTCACAAGAAAATCGTATTGAATACACCACTCTTATCGAGTCAAAAAAGAGAGCTCTCACCATCCTCCACTCTCTGTGTGTGTACATGTGCTCACGACCTGAAAGTTTCTGCGTTCCTCGACTCCCTCTTTCCAGCCATAATGCGGTTAGAATTCATACGACTCCCTTCGGTTGTGCGGAGACGGCGCCACGCCGCCCATTGGGTGAGGCTGCATTGGTGCCGGCGGTGCCTGGTTCACGACACCGACACCCGAAGCACCGAGTCCAGAGGCGCCGAAGTTCTGACCACCGGAATAGGGGCGGGCCATACCGGCGCTCTGGTTCATACCCACCGGCTGCGACGGGATGGCGCGCCCTGCCACGCGGGGCGACGGCGCCGTCGAGTTCTGTGGAGGCTGCTGGTTGTAGTAGCTCACGGCGTTCATAGACACGCCCTTGGACATGTCCAGGCCGATTTCATTGCCTGTACCGGAGCCCATGCCGCCAGCGCGGTTGCCGTTATTGTAGCTCGCGTACATGGCGGAGCCTGTCGTGCTGTGCGGGCCCTGGCTCTTAGCGAAAGCTGGCGTAGCGTTGGGCATTTCGTCGTCTTCGTCCTCACTCGCGCCCTTGGAGCGACGAACGAGCGTCAGGAAGATGACAGCGACGGCGATAACGCCGATAGCCGCACCGATAATGGCGAACACGACGCTCATGTCGGAGCCGCCGCTGCTCGAGTCTCCAGCCGCGGCGCTGCTGCTTCCAGAAGTGCTGGAAGCAGTGGAGCTGGACGAGGCGACACCAGCCGTGCCGCTAGTAGTCGATCCTGTCTTGGAGGACGTTTCTGCTGTCGTTGAAGTCGATGATCCCGCAGTACTGGACGTTGTCGTGGTAGTGGTGCCTGTAGTGCTGGAAGTGCTGGAAGTAGTAGTGGACGTGCTGCTGCCACTGGAAGTACTAGTAGTAGTAGACGATCCCCACACGGACCCGCAGTCCACACCGAAAGGGCAAGATTCGCCCACCTTGACGTAGCAACCATCATCCGCGAAGGTGATGCAAGGCGGACAACCGCCACTTGAGACTGTGCAGGGCGTGGAGGCCGCGCCACCCTCGTAGCAGGTGTCGACGGATGAGCACTGCGACGTGCTGGCCATGAAGGCGGCGTCGGCCGCGTTGGTTGTGCGGGCGAGTGCCGCGATGGCGACAAAAAGCCACGACGAGGTCTGCATTTGGTCTCTGTCTAAGGTCTTTCGTCTGTGTTTGCCGACCTGTGTCTACGGATTCCTAACGCCGGGCGTTTGGTTCCTGTTCCTTTGCTTTTGCCGCTCTTCTCTCGGGGTTTATTTCTGGTACCACAACGACGCGGAAGCCGAACTCGAACAGAGCTCTAGCTGGCGGTGTAGTGGTGGGGGCTGCGGTGGTTAGAACGAGGCTAGTCCTCTACCGGTCGTGCATCGCAGCTGGCTCGAATCCGTACGATCCGATTGGCTCCAACGACTGATCGCAAGCCAGTTTTAGCAGCGTTTATGTCGTTTTCTCCAAAAAAAATTTCTATTGGCTGAAAAGAGATTTTAGGTAGGGCAATGTCGAAGCCGTTTCGGCAGAGCCTGTCGTTTCTTAGACCGGCATCGCCGATGACGGGCCGAGAGTGCTGCGCAGCTCAGCGTGGGTTAATGTAGAAGACACTTACAACAGCGGCAAGACCGCTTGACGCCTGCATTCCCTTGGAATCTAAGAAGGAAAACCAACCTGATCCAAAAACAGCGCTTGGTAGTGTTTGGCAATATCGTGTCCAACATCGCACTCACAACAAGCTGAGAGAGAGGTTCTGCCGTGCAATAATACGATGCACCTGAATTACCCGATACGACGACGCGTATTTGACAAGATATTGAGAAGATATGGTCCAACACAGTTCAGTTTTGTGTCGAAGCGTTATGCCACTTGATTTCGACGCCACCTGGCCGTAGTCCCCGTGGCGGCTCCTCCTCCAGATTCTCCTCACTCGCAGAGCGTGCACGAAGGGAAAATCTTCCGTAAGATCACTGTTAGCACGACGACCCAATCGCGACGGCGAGGGAGCAACAATCAAGACTGTGCTCGAGTATCGCTCCTTGAGTCCGAACCCCCCGCACCACCCTGGGACTCGCCAGCCCCCGACGTGGACCCGAAAGTCGTTTCTGTAATCATCGATGACGCATTTGAAGCTGTGCTGAAGGCTGCACTTCTAGAGCTGCCATTACGAGCAATTGAGAAGTCGTCGGGAGCAGTCGACTCCAAACATGCAGGAGCCGTCCACTTTAATGTAGCAGGCTCCATTCCCAAAGGTGACACAAGACGGGCATTCTTCAGTGGCGATAAAGGAGGGAACTGAGGTCGCGCCGCCTTCGCATGTACAATTGTAAACGTTCCAAACACAATGAGCAGTCTCGCTATTCGCGCCCTGTATAGCAAGGAGAATTCAGCGAATACTTTCATTACAACACGCACTTCCCTCTCTTTATGGTGAGCAGGCCTGACATTGTGGGTACGGCAATGCAAATGTAGCCATATTGTTCCTGATGATTTAGTGGCAGCAGTCTTACTGAACCTTCAAATTTGTCGATCAGAACTCACCATGCCACCATACATACACATTTCGACATCATAACTGATTGCTTCGATTTGCCCTTCCTTCTATCAAGCATCATCGACGGCAAAATAAGACCTCGGTAAAACGTTTTCCTCCTCCATTTTGCATTTCAACCTCGTCCTGCCATTCGCCTATAATATGTCCACCTACGTCGTGCAGGGGCTTGCATACTTCGCGACACACCCGCGTTTGTGGGTCTCGACATTATGCCCACTACTCTTGACGCTTATCGTGGCCATTACCTCCGTGGTCGTGCTCTTCTCCGTTGCTTTGGTACCTCAAGCCGAGGAACTGGAGGATGCGGGCGTGACTAAATGGCTCTCGTGGCTGCTAGCTGTCATGCTCGTGCTGGTGGAGATCTTTCTCGTCACACTCATCTACAACCTCGTCATCATGGGCTGCTACCAGGATAAGGTCTTCGAACAGGTTATGGTAGCGCGTGGCTTTAAGGAGATGGTAGAGGACGAGGAGCGTCACGCCGGTTGTGTCCGCGCCTGTCGTTCCTGCTGCCGTGTCAGCCTCTGGCTGCGCCTCGTACTGCTGATCGTAACATTGCCGCTAAACTTGATCCCGATCATCGGCTCCATCATCTACGCGTGGCTCAATGGCACTATCTTGGCGTGGGAGTACCATTTGCTCTACTTCGAGTTCAAGAACTTTACATACGCGCAGCAGAAAGCCTTCGTCAATGAGCACAAGGTACAATACTCGTCCTTCGGCATGCAGGCGCTGCTCATGGAGATGATTCCGGGTTTTGGCTCGATCTTCGTGTTTACCAACACAGTAGGGGCGGCGCTAATGGCTGCTCATTTTGAGGAGGAAGAACGCGTACGCACGGCACCGCAACACGGCGGTGTGCAGCCCAATTACGCCAACAACAATGCGTACAAGTGCCGTCCGGAGGCATTGTCTAGAGTGTATAGAGATATCTATCAGCGTTAATAAAACTGGTGCAGGCTGGCAGCCACCATGAGAGGGGGAGCAGCCATGTCTATCTCCGAAATTTCTCGCTCTGGAATGTATCCTTGTTGCAGTTTTAGCCATTTTCCAGTTTGCAAAGCCTCCGCGCAGCATGTCGACGTATGTGGCACAGGGTCTCGCTTACTTCTTGTCACACCCGCCGCTGTGGAAGATGACCTTTCGCCCCCTTTTACTGACGATCGTTGTGGGCATGACGACGGTCATTGTGCTGCTGTCTGCGGCCATGTATCCACAGGAACAAGCACTCTACGACATTGGCGTACCGGAAGGGTTGGCTTGGGTGCTGGCCATCATGTTGTGTCTCGTGGAGAGTTTCGTGATCGTTATGCTCTACAGCTTGATCTGCCTAGCTTGCTACCAGGACAAAGTGTTCGCGTACGTCATGCGCGAACAAGGACACACTGATCTCGTGGCCAACAAACGCAAGCACGCGTCGTGTATCCGCATCTGTACCAGTTGCTGTCGCGTGAGTGTGCTACTGCGTCTAGGTCTTCTGGTGGTGTCGGTGCCTCTGAATGTCGTGCCTGTGGTAGGCAACACCATGTACGCGTGGCTAAACGGCCAGATCGTAGCGTGGGAGTATCATTTCTTCTACTTCGAGCTTAAGAATTTCAGCTTCGAGCAGCAGCAAGCGCTCATTGACGAGCGCAGTATGCAGTACAAGCTCTTCGGTATGCAAGCGTTACTGCTGGAGATGGTGCCAGGCATCGGAGCAGTCTTCATGTTCACCAACACCGTCGGTGCCGCTCTTTTCGCTTCCAGCATCGAAAGGGAGGAAGCCGCCAAGCACCCACAGGTGCAGCCAGAAGAGACCGATCCATACCGCTCGCTCGTTTAGAACGTAGCCCCAAAAGTCTTGGCTCTTAAGAGAATGTCAAAACCATCCTTTATTCACGAGTCCATCACGCCAAGAATTATCCAGTTGGTGTTTCTATCCTTTGTAACAAATCTCGCAGTTCTTCAGTCATTCGATCAAAATCTCAAAATGTCGACGTATCCGCTGCGAGGCATCTTCTACTTCCTAGGCGACCAGCGTCTCTGGCGCTTGTCCATCTGCCCCGTGCTGATGACGATGGCCGTCGCATTGGGCGTGGCTGTCACGCTTTTCACCCTGACGCTGCATCGGCAGGAGGAGATGCTGTACAACGCCGGACTCTCCACATTCTTCGCGTGGCTCATAGCTGTGATCTTCGTGATCATAGAAGTTTTCATCGTCACCGTCATCTACGGCCTCGTTACGCTTGAATGGTACAAGGACAAGATCTTCGCACACGTCATGATCGAGTGTGGGTACCGTGAGCTGGTGGAGAACGAGGAGCGCCACTCGCCGTTCCTGCGCGTTCTCACGTCCTGCTGTCGTGTGAGCATCTTACTGCGTCTGGGGCTGCTGGTGATCACATTGCCTCTCAATATGATCCCCGTGGTGGGAAACCTCACGTACGCGTGGCTCAATGGCACGCTCATGGCGTGGGAGGCGCATTTGTACTACTTCGAGATGAAGGCGTTCGATTTCGACCAGCAGAAGGAGATTATCGCCGAGCGGAAGCTTCAGTACTCGGCGTTTGGCATGCAGGCCATGCTTCTGGAGATGATCCCCATTGCCGGTGCAATTTTCATGTTCACGAATGCTGCAGGTGCCGCGCTTTTCGCTGCCAGTATCGAAAAGGAGTTGGAGAAACAGGAGCATCGGAAGATCAGCAAGTGGGGTGGCAAGAACAAAGAAACCAAGAAAAGCCACGAGCTGGACAAGGACAAGGTACCGCTTGTCAACAGGATCGGCGCATATGTGCCGCCGTACGGCAGCACGTCGAAGTAAGTTGCATCTTTCCTTTTGGGTAGTTTGTTGGCAAGAGAATGCTTGCTAACCGCTAACTATGCATCGATAACACTCACTACTTTTCGTTAAAAGTCTACCGTCGTTTCCTTTGTTAAAAGCTCTTCAGTACACAGCAAGAATGATTGATCCACCCGTCGTCAGTAGCAGCAGCATCACCTTGAGATAAACTGAAGTATCATCAACACAATGCTTGCATCCAAGTCGAACAGCACCACTCGATGTCCCTCCAGCATGTAATTCGCTCTGTGGAAGGAGGTGGCATTGCCACTCGTCCTCATAATCGCGTTCGGGGTGGTGTCAGCGGTCTTCTTGTTCTCGCACACCCTGTCTCGTCAGAAAGACTGGCTGGGTGACAAGGATGTAGCCGAAACAATTTGCTGAGATGCTGGCGCTGTCCACCGTCCTGACAGAAATCTTCGTATCCACTGCTGTCTACGGCGCGGTGTGCATCGACTATTTCCAGGACAAGATCTTCACCTTCGTCCTGAAAGACTGCGGCTTGCAATCGTTGCTGGAAGGCCACCAACAGTGTTCAACGGCCGTGAAAGTGTGCACGTCGTACTTCCTCTTTCGGAGCATGCTCGGGGTCATCTAGCTGCCATTGTACCTGGTTCCGATCCTCGGCAACATCGTCTACGCTTGGCTGCACGGCATATTCACGAACGCGTGCGGGGCGGCGTTGCTGGCCGATGAGCTTGAACGCAACGACAACAGCGATAAGTGGGCCGACGAAGACGAAACATTGCTCGGAAGCAGGTCAGCAGCGAGTACGTGTACAACGCGGTCCATTTAATACATGTAGGGCGTAGTGAAGGAAGTGGGGCGGAACGTTCATAAAGCTGTGACGTGTGTAAAAGATCTGATTCTGACGCACGTTTCGGCTTCAGGATTGCTCTCCGTGGGTACAATATTTATTTGGGCGCGTCATCAACAACACATGTCGAATTCATGTATGTACCAGTACTGTACATGTGCAGGCTTGTATTTGTACATGGTATACAGCTCCACTGGTTTATCAATTTGATCCCCTCTCTTCAGTCTCCACTCATTTGGGCGAAGCATCAGCCATTCCTCAATTGGATACTTCCAGTGCACTACTGCAGATCCAAATTTTGCAGCAATGCCGTTCTACGCACTCAAGGGTGTCAAGTTTTTCATCGGCCACCCGCATCTGTGGAAGCAGGCGGCGTTCCCGCTGCTGCTCACGCTGGCCTTCAGCATCTTCTCGGTCTTCCTCCTCTTTGCCTGGACGCTTCGCCCGCAGGAGAGCTGGCTGTCCGACAAGGGATTGCCCTCGGTGTTCTCGTGGCTCTTCGCTGTGATCTTTGTGATCGTGGAGATCTTCCTCGTCACGTTGCTATACGCGTTCATTGTACTTGAGTGCTTTAAGGACAAGATATTTGCCTTTGTGCTGCGCGAGAAGGGATACGCTGCGCTGGTGGACCGTGAGTCCCAGGAGTCGGCCGTCGTGCGTGTGTGCTCGGCGTTTTTCCGCCTGGATGCCATTTTTCACGTGATCCTGCTCATCGTGTCGCTACCGCTACACCTGATCCCCGTCATTGGTAGCATTGTCTACGCGTGGCTGCACAGCACGTTCATGGCTTGGGAGTCGCACCTGTACTACTTTGATCTCAAGGGTCTGGGCTTCAAGCAACAGCAACGCTGGATCGGTCAGCGTAAGTTCCAGTACACGAGCTTCGGTTTCCAGATGCTGTTGCTGCAAATGATTCCGCTTGTGGGTCCTCTCTTCATCTTCTCCAACACATGCGGAGCTGCACTGTTAGCTATCAAGATGGAGCGTGAAGGCGGTGACAAGTGGGTCGACGAGGAGGACGACGAAGCTCTTTTGTCCGGCAAAAAGACTGGCGTTTACGGAACGGTCTAAGCGTGGATGAGTGTGAGAATGGAGGGGCTGTAGATAAGTGACAAGCATGTTCTAAAAACATTGGAGGGCAGGTGAGGAAAAGGCAGGGTAATTGCCTACAAATATGACCTAATCAGCCTTGACCATGGCAAAATGCAGTCCGTTACGGACTGCATTTGGACTCCGTAGCGGACTGTTGATCTCAAGCGATCTACAAGTAGTAAAATGGTACTATTATTACTACAGTATAATTCTACGTACTATTGGTACACCTCTTAAGTATACATTTAGTACCTACAGTGCAACAAGTACTATCCTCACACGGTGTTCACTAAGTAAACCGTGTATACCTAGTAAACACCTGTAAAGGATGATTTTTTCTAACCAATCGCAGCGTATGGAAATGTACCCACACAAAAATAGTGAAAGCGTGTTTTCTTAAAAACACGCCTTTTAGAAAAACCAAATCGTTCGTGTATACGCTTCGCACCCAAATCGGATGTTCGAGCTGGTAATAGAGGCTGTTTGACCGTATGCAGCGCGGAAGTGGTGCCCGGTGCACGTATAATGTGATTTTAAACATATCCAAAACTCCAATATCATGAGGGTGACGTGACAGACGAATGTGACATCCGATCGAGAATCTAGGATATCCAAAAATTGGCGCCTTTCAATACGCCTGTCGATTGGTCAGTTTAATTTCGAAGCCATTTCTGACCCGATTTTTGCCAATCAGAATGCGAATCAAATTTGCAGCTGGCCACCCATCCCACCCTCCCTTGAAGATGTCGCGGCATACTGAAAACAAGTTGGAGCGAAAAGATAGCCCGATCCACAC